GGTTTCGGAGTTAGCAACTTACCCGAAAATAATTTTGGCGAGCCCGTACGTGAGTACCATGCATACCCGACGGCTGGTTTGAACTCATTAATACCTACTTGGAGGGAGAACATCCCCTTAAAATTCCAGTCCTCTAGCTTTCCAGGTTCTTGAGTTAGCAACTTACTCGAAAAAAAGTTTGGTGGGCCCGCACGTGGGTACCTCGCAGGTAAGAGCGCCCATTTTGAAGTTGGAAGCCCGTACACGCATGTAGATAAGGTTCCCAAAGTTTCAGCTCTGTTGCCTTCGTGGGTATTGAGATGAAAAATCGGTGCAGACGAACAAATAGACACACATACGACAACCTCTCGTCAATATGCGTTTGCTGCATTGCACAGACGCAAAAAACGCATAAAAATGAGAAGTAAGCGAGGCGACCTATCGGAATATTAGGGAAGGACGAAACACGTAGGTTTACTCAATCTCGAGAATTTGCCACAAACGCCTGGCCTTCGGTTGATTGGTAACCACTGACTGAAGCGCAAACGAGCCAAGCGCAGGAGAAAGAAACGTAGCGTGCGTATTCCCAGACGCCAGATTGCGCCATGTACCACAATGGTGGGACGATACGATGAAAAGCTGAATGGCAAGTTTGGTACTGGACGAGGTCTAATGCAGTCAATACAACTGTTACCTTATCATTGAGAAGCAGCTGTCGCACTTGTGGAATGCATTTCGCCCACTCAATCATCAGTGTCAGATCTTTGACAAACCAGGCGCGCATGTTTTCTCGATCACATGGAACCGGAGTAGCGAGTGCTTGCTAAAAAAGTCCCAGTGCCTTCATCCTGAATGTCTCAAAAGCGCCCAAGAAATCGTTAGCATTAAAACTGACCCAAAAAGCTGCTCTATCTGCATGAATCAACAAAAAGAACTGATCAAAAGATAATTCCATGCCTGTTACAGCAGAAAGAGAACGACTCACCACAGGCACAGTGTAGGTTGACAGCCAAGCTTCGTCATTCAGAAGTCTTCTATCATACATGCATGATGCAACCGATGTATGTGGAGGGAACTTATTCGAATTTCGAACACCATCGATCTTGTGCTCCAAGCTCAAAAGGTCCGAAAGCAAACCGGACATCTCCATCTGTAAATATCACAGCATAAATGAAAGAGAGCACAGATAACACCGTAGTTTTTCAAAAGCAAGGAACTGAGAAACAATTTTAGAAAACTGTTTTCAGCTGAGGAGTTCTTCAACGTGGTGAGCAACGGCAGAACAGTGGCAAAAGTTTTGCAAGTAGCTTATTAAACAATCCACTTAATGGAAGATATATAAAAACAAAATTATTGGCGACGAGCACCAGGCAGGTCCGTGCGATCATACGCTTTTGCAGCATTCCGTGGTGAAGTAAGATCAACTGAAATCCCAGTAGCTAGAATCGGTAACATATTGGTCCCTGAAGTTCAGGAAGTTAATTGTACAGCCATTTGGTGTCAGCTGTCGATGTCGGCTCCAGTGATCAGACAAAGGGAAAGTTGCTGATGCGCAAAAAAAC